ATTTTATATTTTTTATCTAAAGCGGTCTAATATAAAGATATGAAGAGCATTTTCATTAAATTAGGATATTTCTAACAACTTTTTCAGCGCTCACTGAAGCTCTGTGTTGCCGGCTAACTCCTGTAGAAGCCGAACGATCTGGGCAGAATGAATTACAGATCCCTGTGCTCGATTTTCTAAATCAAGAGGTGGTGGGGAATAGTGGGAGGCTATAATTAAAAAATAAAGAAACATAAGAGTTTAAGGTGAACCACAAGATTTAAATTAATTAAGATATGCTGTAAAACTGGGTTTCAAAATATCCCTTAATGGAATGATGCTGAAATACCTTACATTTCATCTTAAGAGGCAAGTGGAAAGGATTCGTAAGTTGGCCTCACCGTATCGCCTCAGGAAGATGATTGTAGATATGTGCCAATAAGTCCTCAGCACACCGCCCTGAGACCCAGATGAATCCCTGCCGAGTTTGCAGGACCCGATGCTTAAGAATAATTCATCAAAACACCAAGACGAGAAAGGTGGCCGGCTGCAAGCATACCCACATACTTCTTACAGTCTAACTTGATCCACTTCATAAAGCAAATCATGATTTGGTTGGATATCCTATGCTTTTCTTAAATGTTTGCTGAAAAGTTAAGTGGCAGCGGATGACATGTGAAGTGACTGCATACGAAAAGTGAAACAGATGCAATTGTGACCAAACAGCTGCATCTTCCCGCTAATCACCTGTATTTTTGATCCTCTAAGTTTGACACGTGATTGCATTCCATTGCACACGTGATGTGTGCTCTTTGACTGCGTGAGAAGTCAGAGTCAAAGCCAGATTCGAGGTTAATCAAGCCTCCTCTTACACGGAGATAATTCTTGTCAACCCCTCTATCTAATCCTATCCAACAGCCACAAGCAATTGCCACTTAATTTCATATACTCATTCCTTCTATTCAATGTTTGCTGTTTTTTTTATATATTTAGCTTTCCTAATCTTCCGCGTATTGGTATAGTCCTCATATCCAGCTAAGTGATTGGCATTAGATCAATCTGTCTGTTGTCCTGTGCAAGCCATGTGTTCGGACAATTCCGATTTTTTAACCCACAAATCCATGAACGCTGTTTTGTGTCAGACAACCTCTTATATATGGGCCTGCAGGTTTCTCTCAAATAGGTGCTACCGCATGAAAATACATTTTTTTGTAACCGATCTGGAGAGTGGACCAGAGTATTGTCTAAAAGAAGAGATTATTGAGAAAAATCCAATTTAATTTTTATATATAGTCCTGATATCTCACCACCTCAGTAATTTGCCTACCTTCTCAAAGGGTTTGCACGATGGCAGCATAAGGGCTCTTATAGTGGTCTAGCCTGTTATCTAGCCCTTAATATGTATTTCTTTCCATACTATTTTGCAATATTCTGTTAATAATTGTCAATCAGTCCTCGTGGATAATTTTTAACAACCACAATTCTCCTTAGTCCTATCAATTCGTGGTCCCGAGTATCAACACCTGCCAGGCACAGGCTCCTTATTATCATAGACTTCATAACTCCTAATTTAACTCCATTAGTGTCTTTTGGAAAATAAATTCAAAAGGAAACCTACGTTTGTGGGTGTCATATACACATCTCTAACTAATGTGGTTTCCTCTTAGTTGACTATGACATTTAGAAATGGTAAACCACCTTCCGTTTCTAACTCAATGATGAATTCCATCTTCCCGCAAGGTAGCCGTCCATATAGCGAACTAATGATTTAGGGGCGAAAAGTGCCTCTTGAATTATGCATTCCTTAAATTTAGCCATGTAATTATTTGCTGAAATTGGTGACAAACACGATCCCATAGCTAAATATCGAGTTTGCTTGCATAGTTTACCTTTAAAGGTAAAATATGTGCATCGCCAGATTTATCAATATCATTACTGATGCTACTTAACTTCATAGACCCTTGTTTAGTGCTATTTGCAGAGCCTGTTCGGCATCCTCTACAGGAGTGTTGGCATACATAGATTCAACATCAAAACTTACAAGCAAGTCCACACTTTCTGTCTCTTGCTCATCGATGAAATTAAAGAATTCATAGGAATTCTTAATCCTTAAGGTATTTTGATTACCCTTTGTCCTGATTCATATACCTAAATGTCTAAGCTTCTTAACATGTCTGTATCTTACCTGTTGAAAAACCCTATAATATAGAAGTGGGTTGTCCTCGTTGTCGCAACCTGGTCTTGTTGTCAGGGCGACTTAGTAGAACGCACCTAGTCCGACGCCGTCTGCCATAGTAGTTTTCATGAGTCCCAGCATCAGACAGTGGACTTGGCACATGCTCAAACATTTCGCCGGCATCATAGTCGACATCATCAGTGAGTTTTGCCATTCTCCGCACAATATACCGAGAAGATGGAGCATGCTCTACGAGACAGGACCACATATTGTATACTAAACAAGGACCCAACTATGAAGATCAATGGAATCTTATGTGCCATGCTGAAAGATATCCATAGGAATGGAGAAATTGACGCATGGACAAGAAATTCAATCATAAGAAAGGATACACGACCACAAACAGCATATGGATTATCAAAGATGCACAAAGAATGCGAGCCACTAAGGCTGATTTTGAACAAGAAGTATAAAGCAACGCACAAATGAGCAAAGATTATATGTTTTAAAGTCAAGAAATTAAATTAGAGGCTATCAAACACAGTAAAACATTCATATGCATTTTCTCAAAAAATCAAAAATATGGCGCTGAAAGAAACGGACTTATTTGTAAGTTTCGATGTGGAATCCATGCATACAAATATCTATGGAGCAAATGCGCTTATGGCCTTGCTGGAAATCCTGGACTGAGAGGAGGATATCCTGGATTCACAACAAATCAGGAGGGAGTCAATAACAAAACTAATCAATTTGACAATAGGGACAAATTATTTTACATTCAACGGGAACATCTATAAACATATATTTGGACTTCCCATGGAATCGCCGCTTTCAGCACTTTTGGCAAACGTATACATGAAAAAAATAGAAGAGAACTTCAAGATGGCACCGCTACAACCGGCAATGCTTATGCGGTACCTTGATGATTATTTCGCACTTTGGTCACATGTAAGAGAAAAACTGAAAAAGTTTCTGAAGTTTGTAAACCAGATTGATGAAAAAATTCAATTCACAATGGAAGTAGAGGAAGGTGAGCGGTTACCGTTCTTGGACGTTGAAGTGATTCGCTCTAATAGGACGCTCAAACAGAAATTGTTCAGAAAGAAGTCCTATGCTGGGATGATACTCAATTTCCAGTCCCATCACAATCACGGGCCAAAGATTTGAATAATGAAGAGTCTGATCATCCGAAGCCTACGCATAACGGATTTAGAATTCTGGGACGAGGAGCTGGACAAATTGACGAGGATATTCCTCGGTAATGGCTACCCAAGCGAAGTAATACAAAGAAACATACGGGCCGTAAAAAGCCGATGGTAGAACAGGGGCTATGAAAACGCACTAAGGACGATGAAGGATTCACAAAAGTGGATATGCTCACCTTCCTGCGAACTAACTCAATAACTACA